TTAGGTTTGGGTTTTGGGTTTGATTTTGGGTTTTGGGTTTTTGGGTTTTGGTGAGCTTTGGGTTTAATTTTGGTTTTTGGGTTTTGAATTTTAACCTTGCATTTCAACCCTCCAACTTTCCCTTTCTTCAATTCAGTCCCTCATTTTAAATTCCTTCATGTTCCTTTTCCAATCCTCTTTTGTTTGTAAACCTAACAAGGAAAATGAAGACAAAACATATTAGTTAAAATAAAAATAAGATTGAAAATAACAATAAAATTAAAATTCTATTAAAATTTTGAGTTATGACAGTTGCCTTCTTTTCTTTTCTTTCTGCTGAGAATGAAAAGAAAAGACAAGAATAACTCAAATTTGCCACTCTCTTTCTTTTTCTTTTTCTCCCTTTTTTTTTTAAAAAATAAATTAAACAATTAAAGTAAAACACATCGAATGACTGAATAGGTAAAATAAAACGATTAAGAAACTGAAATGGTCATTTGACCAAACAAGTAAAGTAAAAACGGTTAAGAAACTGCAATGGTCAAATGATTGAACAAGTAAAGTAACAACGGTTAAGAAACCACAACGGTCGAATGACCGAAAAAGTAAAGTAACAAACCAAACGAGTAAAGTAAAAATGGTTAAGAAATTGCAACGGTCAAATGACCGAACAAGTAAAGTAAAAAAAATTATGAAACCACAATGGTCGAATGACCGAAGAAGTTGATCTTAAGTGAGTTGATCTTAAATGATTTGATTTTCAATGAGTTGATTTTAGATGACTTGCAACGATCAAAGGACCAAGCAAGTTGGGTAGCCACAGTCAAACGACCGAGCCAATTGAGTAGCTACGGTCAAACGACCGAGCCAATAGAGTATGAGTATGGTCGAATGACCGTAAAGAGTAGAGTATCAGTATGGTCGAATGACCCAAAAAGTAGAGTATGAGTATGGTCGAATGACCAAGAAAGTAGAGTATGAGCAGAAACGGTTTTATAACCGAATAAGCTGAAATGCAACAATCAAACAATCGAGCAAGTTGAGTAGCCACGGTCAAACGACCGAGTAAGTTGAGTAGCTACGGTCAAACGACCAAGCAAGTTTGAGTTGAAACGATTTTATAACCGACCAAGTTGGGTAAAGTATCAGTATGGTTGAATGACCGAAAAAGTAAAGTATCAGTATAGTTGAGTGACCGAAAAAAGTAGAGTATGAGTATGGTCAAATGATTGAAAAAGTAGAGTATTAGCAGGGTCGAATGACCGGAAGAAGCAGAGTATCGATATGGTTGAATGACCAAAAGAAGTAGAGTATCAGTATGGTCGAATGACAAGAAGAAGTAAAGTATTAGTATGGGGACCTAATGAGTGTAAATGCAACCAAAAGGCTGGATTACAGTAATGATTGAAAGATCTGCAGCCATGAAACATATGTAAGTGAGACAAACTTCATATATAAGATAAGGTAGAATGAAGAGAGATTAAGAAACTTCCCTGAACATATTGGATGTCCCTATTTGACAAGAGTAATGTGTCTTTCATGTTGCACATTCAATGATCAATGATTATCCCTATGTAGCAGCTCAAAAGATTCACATTCACGAATGCCCTATTGAATGCAAGAGGTAGAATTCCATTTGTTTCCCATGAGGAGATATTTGAAAATATTGCCCCAATAAGTTGAACTTTCATTTGCTATTGGAGTTTCAGCTAGCATGGATGACTCCTTAGCTATCGAATTGGGCTTCCTTTCTCTCTGTACCTTTCAAATTCATCAAGAGATTTTGATTAGATAAACAATTATATTAATTGAAATGAATGTATCATACTCAACTAATATTCCCAATATTGATGAAAAGATAAAGTAGGAATAAATGTGAACAGAATGATTGCAAACATCAATTTTACTATATTCAAGTAGGGTTAGGAGGATCAAAGGGGAAACTTCATTCAGTGATGAGAATAAGTCTAGCTAGTAGTAGAAAATTTTGATGCAATTGGTTACAAGATATTTAGACCATAAATCATTACTTTAGATCATCTTTTCTTTTGCAACTCTACCCATCAGTCCTTTAGTCCATGAGAGAGAATTTCATTCCTTTTCTGAAAGTTGACACTTCAAATCTTTCCCCTTTTCATGAACTAACTCTTGTGCTCAGAAGAAGGAAGTTTCCCACTGTCAATGCTTTGAGCTTTGATGTCTCTCTCTTTTTTTGTTAATGTATGCCCCTTGACATAGAAAGCTTCAAATCCTCAAATAAGGACTTTTCATAGGCTTGTAACATGGCTTGGGTTAGGTTACGGTGAAAGAAAGGATAAAGGCTCAAAATCCATATAATCCCCTCACATTCCTCTCTTCACTTCCCCGGTCATTAATGTGGGTTAATAGAAAGAAAATCATTCTAGCTTTTGTAAATTTGAATGATTACCTTTTTCTGGCTCAAAAGGGGTAAGCAAAAGGGCAATGTTCAGCTGTTTAGGGTAGAGAAACAAGGCCTTTCATTATTAGATTTCCAATTTTCTAAGTCAAGGAAACATTTAATTTGTTAGGCTGCCCTTTCAGGTTTTCAACCTAACCTCTTTTTTTTTTTAGCAATAATACTTTTTAACAGCATCGGCATTTACTGGATGATGATAATTAGTTCCATCTAGATATTTCAACAAGAGTGCTCCTCCAGAGAAAGCTTCTTTAACAACATAGGGCCCTTCATAGTTTGGTGCAAATTTGCGCCTAGGGTCCTTTTCATTTGGCATGATCTTCCTTAAGACAGGATCTCCTTGATGAAATACTCTAGGTCTGACCTTCTTGTTGTAAGTTGCTGCCATTTGTTGCTGTTAACATTGGCCATGACAAAGAGTTGCCAATCTTTTCTCATCAAACAAGTTAAGACTATCAACTCTCTTTCTCTCCTTTGAGTATTGATTTTTATCTCCTTTTTGTCATCTTCAGCACCCTGATTAATGGTTTCTGTCTCTTGATTTGGTTGCGGCTTTGGTTCTTCCTTTCTTAACATTTGAGTTAGTTCAAGAAAAGGATCAAGACTTTCATTGTCTTTTTCATTATAGGTCTAATCAACCATCTCATATATAAAGTTTGACATAGCATCACTGTTTGAAGATTCATCATTAGTAGGCTTGAAAATTTGGATGGAAGTAAATAAATGGCCACATGATAATAAAGCAAAGATAAGAATATGTTACTGGATAACCTCACGAAATATATCATTAATTGTACAACAAAAGTTCAAGTAAAGTTGCATCATGATGATGTTTACAATGATAGATAGGATTGCAACATGTTTCATTGAAAAGGAAAGCATGGGAATAGTAGAAGCATGACAACATAAATTTCAGAAAATATAAAGGTGCTTGTGGAATCCCTCCTTTCACGTAGTCACAAGCAAAACTATTAGAGGCTAACTCCTTTTACTCAGATATGAAAGCTGCAGAGAGAAGTTCTGTTGTCCAATTAGCTTGAAAGCTTCCATTGACTAGTGAAACTCCCTTATCAAATTCCGGTTTTTCCTCATCTAAAGCATTTATAGTCAAATTTCTCCATGAGTCACATAGTGATTCTTCTTCCCTTGTTCCAAGGAGCATAGACTCATGTGAACCCACTGGTGCTTTCACATGATGAACAAGATGGAAGTTGGGGTGCTCCTCCATGAATACCCTTTCAACAAGCATCCTCCTCCACCTTTCCTTAGGATCTGTCATGTTGGCTGACCCAAAAAGGTTGTTGAGGCCAAAATAGTCTTCCTCATCATCAGAACAGATTTCATCGGTGATATCATCCACAGCCACTTCCTTAAACTGTGCTATGCATTTTTCTGACTCTTGCACAGACATAAACTTCAAAGATCCCATTGCTTGTAACTCCTTAACCTTTTTCTGAAAATCTTCACAATCTTGCAAAGTATGCCCCTTCATATTGGAGTGGTAAGGACACACCAAGGCATCATCAATCATCGCAGGTGAAACATTCAAGTTTATTTGCGCAATTGACTGAATCAAATCATATTTTGTCAAAATGGCAAACAATTCATCAAGAGACCAAAAATTGGCATTATCCAACACGGGCTTTTCAACTTCATCAAGGGCAACCATATTCATTGTGCCTGCATCATGAGGGGATAAAGGATTTTGAGTGATGTTTGGAGTGCTCTCAGCTTCCTTAGCATCAAGCTGAAGTTTACCCTCATCAATGAGATCTTGAATTTTATGCTTCAAAGCTGTACAATGTTCAGTACTATGACCCACTACATTATGATATTCACATTTAGCTTGTTGATCATACCAATGCGAATAAGGTGGTCGAATAGGGTACGTTTGCAATGTTTCCACCAAACCCACTGCCACCAATTGTTTCAACACCTCACTGTAAGGGATTAGAAGCTTGGTGAATTGCCTTGGCCTATTAGTCGATGGGAATTGTTGCCTAGTCAGAGCTTGAGTATTAAAGTTTGGCGACTCCATTAGGGACCGAACCTAGAATCTCTGGTTTCCATATTCTAAGTTCACGAGGGTCGAGCTAATACTTTAACTTTGGGGAATTTTTCAACTTTTGATTTTCTTTGTTTGTTGAGTCTTTGTGGGCTTTGTCATTTGTTGCATGTGCTTGTTGCTTGTTTTGGTTGTTGCTTGTTTTGGTTGTTGCTTTTACTGTTTTTTGTCTTTGAGTGATTATCTTGTCATATCATGACATGCATCATCCCTTGCTAACGTATTCATGCATCATATCATCTCACATGCTCATCCATCATTGATATAACATGCTTATTCATCATGCATCATGCTTATATGCCTACTTGTTTGTGTGTGGATATACTCACCTTTTACACTTGGTTATGGAGTACTCAGTGAGTCTCATCCCTCTTGTGCGATTATTTACATCTTGTTGCATGCTAACTGTTGGTTGCTTTGTGTTACTAACCTTTTGCATTTGGCATGGGAGTACTAGGTGAGCCCCTTCCTGCTGTGTAAGTAGGTTTGTTTGTGGGTGATATATTTGTT